TATCATTTCAGCAATTCGGAGGGAAACCGATAGAATGTTTAGTGCCCGACATATTTAGCAGCTCATGGGAGCAGGTCCGTTTATATGATCTCTAGTAGGATCTCCTATGATGAGCCAAACGATCCTGAAATTTCTGTTACAGTATGCTGAGAATTATTGTTGGGCCCAAGACACTTACTATGTGCCTATGAGCCAAGCTGTTGCTGGTATGCCTGATGATGATCGCCGTAAACGGCAAATTAGTTACTACCAGGTAATTTTATTGTATCGCATAGCTGAACCTTGAATTTAAAAGAATGCCGTCCCCATTTTTTTTTTCTAATTTTCAGTGGGTACCATTTTTTCTTCTGGCTGAAGCAGCCTGCTTTCGACTTCCCAGTATTTTATGGCAATATCTGGCCTGCCATTCGGGTACTGTTTATTATTCTTTGATATTTTTCCACTTCAATTCTTCCTTTCTTCTGAGCAATTATGAAAACAGCATAAAACAGTTTATTTATAAAAATATTTGTTAATTTTGTTCACCTATTATTTTTAAAATTATTTATTTATTCTTGAGTTCAGTGGCAGTCAGTTAATTCGAACTCGGTGGTCATATCTGAGGACATCTCTTGAGTATGTAGCTATGATGATGAAGAATCTATGGCATGGCTTTCAGGTATAAAAATCCATGAAGTAGTCAAGCTATCGTCTGATCCGAACAACATCAAACCGGATATCAAACGAGCAAATATAAGATCGCTCACCGTCCATCTGCAGGTTTGCCTTTTCATCTGTTTTTACTCGGATTCGGCTCTGGAATGAGAGTGGTGAAAATGGAGCTGCTGGCGTTGATTCATCCCTTTGAGGTACACCATTAAGTTTATTTTAATTGTTTGGGTCCTATAGGAGACGATTTGATTTGACTATTACGCAATCGTAACTTGAACATCGTTTGGCCTTCGCAAATCATATCAATGGCCAAATCAAATCAAGGCCAGGCGAAGTCGAAGTTAACGAATCCGTAATACTATTCTGAACAGGTTTGTAGCAGATAACTGACTCCAAAGAGGTGGTGTAGGTGATCAAGGTGCCTAAGAAATTATGGTAGTTTATACCTGCAATTTCACCGTCGAGGTCGATAGTACTTGAGGGAATCCATAGGGTTGATTATTGTTGTGCTTGATGTCCTTTATTACGGTTAGGATGGAAGGATGAAGTCTTGGGACGTTAATCAATCCCGCGTGAGGGATGTGCCCCTCGTTCGACTTCATTCGTAATCGTAGTGGCATATTGAATGCGTATGTGGTCGGTACAACGACTTGGGTGGCCAGCCGATATACAAGTCAGTGCTTTCCTCCCACACAAGTCTGGTACCAATTAGTCAACCCCAAGGGGATGGATGGCTTGGCTGGCCTAAGCGGATATTGATCCAGGATTTGAACCCCTAACCATGCGTGTGTGCTAGTACGCCATTACCACTACACCACCTCCGCCCTTTACCCTTAATTACGGTTTTTTTACAAAATTGTTTAGGGAGCTCTTCGTTTCCATCGTCGACTTCACAAAAAGCAAATTCGTCCGCACCGACTATTTTGGTTTTGCAATTTGCCATATTCGGCATTTTTTGTTACATGGATGTATTTGTGCACAAAGTTCTTCTACTTGGCAAATGTGTGCTTACAGCTGTTGCTTATGAACAAGTGAGCTTTTCCTTTCATCTCTTCTTTTCTTTTTACTGCTATCTCAACTGGAGAAGGTTCTTAGAACAAATTTTTTGAAAAGCTCCAGCAGTGGGGCCTATTGGGTTTAGAAAGCTTCCTGTCGTATTATACTTTTTGTAGTTTGAATATTAGTACTTTTCAAAATGGCTCGACCTTGACCCCATTATCGGCATGTAAAGGACTTATGCAAAGAGGGATCAACGGATATTCCCTTTATTGGGGGCATACTGGTACTACATTTCCATCCTAATGGCGTATGTCATGAGTGGGTCAGTTTTGCGTTGGCATCGGGTGCTAATGGGTAGCGTTGAGATCAGAAGTGAAGGTCTTCAGAGACTTCATAAGGCCTCAAATGGTGCTTGGAATGCTAGTCATCGCGGAGTACGGAACTGACGGGAGTAACAGACTGATGTGTAAATTTTTGGCTCGGTTATGCTTAGTCATACATAGAGTTAGGGGTTGGTTTAACCCATTGAGTTTCGTTTCGAGTTATCTGAGTGTGGTTGAATGATTCATCAGTGCATCTCCACAGTTTAGGATTACCTCGAAAAAGGAAATAGAGGCCTTTGAAGGGAGACTTCTTCGAAGGCCTCTGTTTTTCAGGGTAGTTCAGTTCAAGGCGGTCATCCCCCAACGGACGATGATTCGTTGGGAAACATAAAATTTACCAGTTACCCATTCGCCAAAAGTTTTAATATTGCTTTTTCACTTGATATCTCAATTTTCTGAGACTTTTCTTCAGGTTTCTGGAAACGGACAAATACTCTTGGTATGGGTTTGGAGCGATGCTTGATTTACTGAATGGTACAACGTGGGAGCAGAGTGGAATGTTTCCTCGAGTGTCGCTTTGCGATTTCGACGTGAGTCACCTGTGGCGTCCAGCTTTTTCTGTTTTGTCTTGAGAGCTCATAAAAGACAATTCAACTGAAAGATTTATAGGTTCGTGTGATGGGAAACGTGCAAGAGCACACAGTCCAATGTGTACTCATTATCAACATCTTCAATGAGAAAATATTCATTTTTCTGTGGTTTTGGTGAGTACGACCTAATGGCGATTGAATTTCATCACTCCCTCTGTCTCCCTTCACCTCTGCTTAATCATAAAATCCCTTGATTAACACTTATAGACAGTTCCGTTGCTTTCCTTCGTCGAATCGCATAATGCCTCGATGGGGTAGTACGGTGCTATAGATGTCTGAAGGGGTGGTCTTAAGTGCAAGACTTATCCAGCTCCAGACCAGGCCCATCTACCACTTTGTAAAGTTGGATTTTTTGTACCCCAATTTAAATGTTGAATGGAAAGTAGGCTGCAACTGTCTAGTTGATTTTTCTGGAGGACATTTGCCTCTCACATCTGGCCCTCACGGTGGCTGTCATTTTCTTTTTCCTGCGAGCAAATGTTGCTCAGTCTTCGTCGCCTTAAAAGCGTGAATCATCGCTTTTTGGCTGTGAAGAGCTTCCTTGAGAAAGTTACTGTCGGATTGACAGCAATTGTCTGAATTTCAGAAACCCAGACAGCCATCAGTACAGTGATGGTCGCCTTTAATCAGATTGCTCTAAGAGGATGAGGGAAGTTCTGAAGTGAAAGATTTGTTTTCTGGATGGAAATAGGTGTAAAAATGGATGTTGAACATTTTCAATCAAGAGATTCAACTGGCTTAGGGACGAATAGATATTTTGTGCTTGGTGGAAGCTTGAATAATTTGGCTTGGACACCACGGTCGTTCCTTCTAGGAAGAAGATATCCAAATTCTCCTGTTTAGGATTTGTCCTCCTAATTCTGCAAATGTCTATGATAAGAACTCATTTTTCACAGGTATTTGATGATCGCCATCTTCACTTTGGGTTCGTTCCTGTATTGGCTTTTCGTTGCGGTCGTACCTCAACCAAATCGTCGTTTCATTAAAAGGCATCTTGAAATCAGTGAAATGCCCTTCGATCCTGTTGGTGGGTAATATTGACTGAGAAATATCGTTTTCGATATAATCGTTCTTTCCTTCAGAAAGTGAAGGAGATGTCAGGCGATTCATCGATAACTATTTGAGAAGCGATGGCGTCTTTGTGATTCGAATGCTTACTCTGCAATCAGGGGTACGTTTCTTTTTACTTCCCTTTTCTTACTTCAACTCGACTCTCCAATATTGACAACTTGTTTCCTTATTTCCTTATGAATGAATATTGACATCTTGTTTCCTTATGAATTCGTGTAACAGTTAACAGTTCGTCAGATTTCCTCTGAAACTGTTGACAGACTTTTTAAATTTGTAAATGCTTTGATCACATTTAAAACAAAACTTTATAATAATTTCGCTATGTTCCGCTAGTAGATAGATAGATAGGTCTTTGCCGCTGATCGTTGTGTTAGTGTTACCACGACTGAACTTTGGGCGGAAAAAGTCTGC